GCAGAGCTTTCCCGGTCGGCTAAGGTACTGCTGGTATTTGACGGGGTGAATTAGAGTCTCTTATAGCTACTGACTGACAGCAAGTGTTGGGAAAAGAAAAAGTTACATATCCGCTGGGATTCGAACCCACTAACTAACAATCCGAAAACCACGACCTTAACCGTTTGGCCATTTCGAAGAAGTTACTTTCAGCCGTTCATTTTAAGGACATAACCATTCACCTTACTGTACAGAATGTTTCTGTGTAAAGATTGAGTGACTGAACGCTACAATAGTGCATCACGTAGCAAAAATACACATACACAGAAACAATGGTCGTCAACAGTAAATGTTCTCCCTGACAGCTTCTCCTTGGTGTTTTTGAATGTGCGCGTTAATATGGGCTAGTCCCCGGACCACGTCTGGACGTACACCCGTCTACACGCATGAACTCTTTCATAAAAATATGTTGATGACACGCCATTTTTTTCTCCTTTTTGGGGGGGGGAGGGCGTTGTCTCTCGTTTTCTTTACTAGCATCAAACGACAGCCGAAGGTTGAATCAGGACCCCAACAGTTCTACTAAATAACATGTTATGTTATGTGGTGGGCCTGATCTGTGTTGTTCTTCAGAATTCGAATTGTCAAAATGTAACTTGATGCAAGTTGGTTGTCACCGACTATTCAAATTTTACAATTCACATGATCACGTGATCGTTCATGCCATTTCATATATGTCAGTCTCAGTACAAGCCAGTGCTGGAGCGAAGGTTTTACTTGATTCTCAAGGCCAAGACTTCAAGTTAACCCTCAGTGAAGGTCGAGGCCATGCAGTGTAAAGTTACTACTACGTCTTTAAAACATGTCACATCATATCGTGACTTATCGTCGGCAATTTAGCACTTGTTCTCAATGCCAGCCTGTTTGTTATTTTATTACAGCGATATGAAATCATCGTCCGGATGCTGTGTTACTATTGTGCAGAATATGCCGTCGTGTCGTGCCGTTGCATCATATTATACTGCCGTCGTATCGCACTGCTGCTGTGTTGTGAGTGTGGGGCTTGTGCTGGAATCGAATAGAAGTTTTAAAAACTGTGGGGCTACTCCATAAAAGGAGATACAACTTGCACAAGGAATATACCATAAAATGGACGGGGGTGCTTGGCAAAATGAAAGTAAAATTCTAGAACAAAATTGTTGAAAATCCATCATATATTGACTTCTTTTGACTCGCTGACGAAAGAGGTATTTATGAATGGGAGTTCATGTAAATATGTACTTGGCCGGTTCTAAACTAAAATTTAAGACCGGCTCTGGAGACTGAACGCTGATGCCCTCGCCTGCGGCTCGGGCATTAGTCGTTTAAGACCGGCTAAACATATACATGTATTTATTCCCTTGTTAATTTGGCACCTAACAGCAGATTGATACATGGCAGAGTTCGTAAACAGCATTGCAGCTGTACGAACTTGCTTTGAAACGTTTTCATAGCTTGGGTAGATATTAATTTTTTCCTCTGTCACGTTTCTGCTGAACGAAAAGGGGAAGGGAAACTTACAGGCTTTTTTGGTTTGGGCCATGTTACCAGGATTGATCGGACATACAGAATTTGGAACACATTTTTGCCTTCAACACAGCATGTGGTGAACTGTTATCTCTCCACATTTCAAGATAGGCCGACTTATTCATCCTTCTCAGAACATTTTTTTCTTTTTTTTGTTTTATGTGCCTCCATAATATGTAATTTGTACAACTACGTTTTAACTTTTGACTTTTAAAATTGTTCTTGTTAAACATAGGGCTCTCTCCTCACAAAACAAACATCTTTGAAGCAAAGTGTGGGTTAAAATATGCTGTTATATTTTATTTCAGTGCCCAAAAAACAAACGGGATTTCAAATTAATCTGCCATACTGACAAATTCAACACAGAGCATACTGTAGCTTTGCACACACCTTGCTTGAAAACTGGTTAAAAAACAACCTTTCCGTGAAAATAACACAAATCTAATGTAACTATCTTTATACATACAACAGTTGCACCTTAGGAATAGTTCTGCATCTATCAACAAGTCTATAATTCAGAAAGAGATAACTTTGTAGATATTTTGTCTTATGGCACATGACGTCGTATTACAAAGTGTTGAAACAATATTTCCTTTTGGTAAAACAATGCAAATTAAAAAATATACACATTCAGACTAAACACAGCGTCTGCTGTACATAAAACTTCTCACAGGCCGTTTTCTGCACAGACGGTAAATATAACGCACTCTTAGCAGCGGACATCAAAAATACTCAACAGTACTGGAAAATGCAGTAACAATGCTAAAGTAAACTTGTTTACGTATGGGTTCGTTTCTTCAAGTAACCACCGCTCCCTAGAAAATTCTGTTGGCATATTAAGTCTGGAGCAAGAAACGCTTAGCAAGGGAAGTATTTTAGTACATGTTCTTTGATTCTTCTCAACATTACACTTGATACCGTAGGGAGAAATTCAGCAACTGGCCAGACAAACATATCTTGTATTTGCAACATCCAACAAGACCAAAAAAATTCTTGGCCCACACTGGAAAAGGAGACGTTCACTCTGTGCAAAAACAACTATTCCAGAAACATCTCGATAAAACAACTACAGGTATATTTCGAAAGGCTAATGTCACGTATGAAGTATGCAATGACATGAAAAACTAACACCGCTATGCGAGAACAGGTGGTCCCTTTGTACTTCATGCAGTATGGTGAATGGGTAGATTCACTGTGCCATGAGGGTGAGTGTGTAGGTTCACTGGGTCAAGGGGGTGAGTGTGTTGGTTCATGGTGTCATGAGGGTGAATGAGTAGATTCACTGTGCCATGAGGGTGAGCAGCAGAATCACTGTCATGAGTTCAAGTATGCAGGTTCATTGTGTCATGAGGGTGAGTGTGTAGGTTCACTGGGTCAAGGGGGTGAGTGTGTTGGTTCATGGTGTCATGAGGGTGAGTGTGTAGGTTCACTGGGTCAAGGGGGTGAGTGTGTTGGTTCATTGTGTCACGAGTGTGAGTGGGCAGACTTAAGGCCAGTTTAGACTTCGTGCAAAAGCGAAAACGAATGCGAATTTGTGACGTTAGATGAAATATTTGCGTTGCGAATTCATGAAAGTCGAACACATTTCAACTCAAGCGAAATTTCGCTGGAAATTTTTCGTCACGTCCAATTCACTTTACTTTTGCATTTACCTGCGGTATAAACCAGCTTTCATTTTGTCACGAGGGTGAGTGTACAGGTTTATCTGATTGCACAGTTAACATTTAAATCCTGATGCATAACAAAGTAATTGCACAGACACAAACAACGTACATACATAAGCTTATGGCAAGTCACTCTAAGAAAATAACTTATGTGTTTAAAAATGTCATGTGCACCCTTTGATGGTTACTGGTTAACACTGGCAGTTCATACTGATCTCTTTGCGACAAATCCACCAACACCATTCTTGTTATTGTGCAATGTTTCCTGTGGATTTATCCAAAGCTGACAAGTTGAGGCTTAAATCCAAAGTTTGACAAACTCTGGACCATAATGCACTACATTTCCTCAGCTTACAGCCTCTGATTTTAATCTTCCTTCCACAAACCAAATCTCATGGTACCATCACTTGTTCCATTGATCTAGAAGTGTACTTATTGGTAGTTCCAACATTCACATTGTGGTGGAAGGTACAGACTGCAACAATACAAACTGTGAAGGAAAGATCATAAAAACATAGCTACACGTAGTGTGTTAGCCAGTCTGGATACCTGACTCATTGCAGGAATACAAGCAATCTTGTCACAACTTCTGAGATGACACTGTTGACTGTGGTTTCAACTTCCCTCTAGTCTTAACGGCCTTCTGTTCTGAAGTTTATCAGGATTCCAATAACTTTCTCTATGAATATCAATTTTTAAATTGAATTGAGCCTGCGTCGGGGGGTCACCAGGACAGTCGTACACTGGCCGATGGTTGACCATCTCCAAGGGAAGTTAAGGCAGTAAAATGACAGGTTCAGTGGTGACTCTACATCACATATACTCTTATGGAAAATTATAAAGGTGCTTCAGGATTGTGTTGGCCTACAAACCTGCACCTACATGGACACTACAACACAATCCTCTATTAACACACTCTAAGTTTTCAGGTTTGCTATTGATATTGATGCCTTGGCTTGCATGGATGCTGGGGAAGTTGATAGGTCCCAACTGATCGATTCAATGGAGCACCCTCTTGCCTGCAGCGATGTGTACAGCCAAAGTTGGGACAAGAGGTAGTTTAAGATGCCATTTGATTTCCAGACTGGTTGTCTGCTTTGTGATGGGTTGCTCTAATCAATCAGAAGGTGACCCCACCCCAAAAGCCAATATTTCCATCGAGGTACAACTTGCGGCAGACTTTAGAACCAGTGGTTAATATGAAGAAGTCACAAGTCTCTCTATGTTATAGCTCTGCTTGGGTTGATCAAGCAGCACCCTCACTCGTGCTTAGGCAGTTTCAATACCAGAAAAAAACAAAACAAAAAAACAGCTGATTACCTTCTACTTTAGGCCTGAAGACCAGTCTGAGCCTCGATGGCTTGCACAAAAAAAATACCTCTTACAAGTTCCGAGAACCAATCTACAAAATCTCAACAGTCATGCAGTTTACAAAAGACAACATTTTATCATTTAAATCCCTGATGAAAATGTGATGATGAGATACATGTATAAAAAAGCACTGAATGGCATAAGATAATCACCGTAAGTAATTTCAATCCAACATACTATTTCCCAGAATAAATATTTCTGTATGTGACTCAGTAACGTAACACTGCACTAACAAGTGTCCTTGGCAAATCTCAATTCCAGCTTACTGTGTATGTGCATTTCAGAAGTAAGTAAACCAAAAACGTAACAAAACATACTTTTATAAAAAAGAGCTAAAGCCAGTTTGTCATATGACCCCCTGACTATGGAAAAATCCCACACAAGATTCAAAATGTTTTAAACTTCAAACAATAGACAGACCTTTTTCATTTTAGACCTTTGAAAGAATTATTTCATCCTTTCTCTCACACAAAAAGTGCCCACAAATTAGTATTCCCTTCCAGTACATGAAAACACAACTCCTGGAATAGCAGATTATAGCAACAGGCCTAAATCCCTTTTATCATCCTACGCTAAGGTTCAGACCTCAAACGTGGTTACCATGCAAACAGCTGTGGGTTATGCTCTACCATCTCATTACGACAGCCAATGAAAGACACATTGCTTGCACATACATGTATTTGTAACCCAAGTGCTAACAGCAGGGAAAGAAGGCAACCAATTTTCAGCTGAATGTGCAGGAACCCAATTTTCAGCTAAATGTGCATGAACCCAATTTTTAGCTGAATGTGCTCGAACCCACTTTTCAGCTGACTGTACACAAATCCAATTCTCATCTGACTTAGCTTGAGATAAATTTTCAGCTGAATGTGCTCAAATGTAATTCTCAGCTCAATAATTACAAACCACATTTTTCAGCTGAATATGCACAAACTCAATTTTCAGCAGACTGATGAGCAAAATGGCACTTTCTTAGTCAATACCTTTCAATAAAATTGTGTTTTCAAACAAGGACCTAGGTGCACACGCAATCCGATAAAGGTGCCTGCTGACTGAATTGAACATGTGAATCGGTTCTGCTGAACTGAGCTATGAAGCACGACTACTCTGCTACTTTGAGAAACCAGGTCACGGTAACCTTGCTGCATTGATAGATAACTGGTAATCTGTTGTTAGAGAACCTCACAGCTCAAGAGCCATCTTCAGTGCATGCCATTGCAAGCAGGAAATCATAAAGGTGCTCTTCAGCCCTACGGTGCCCTTATTAAACACAACATACAACTGATAACAAATTCGCTTTTACTTTATACAATATATTCATATTCTACAAGAATATTTGTCAAGTAGGCTATATGAATGAGCTATATATAAGTATACACCTTGATTGTCTGAATCTGAATAGTATTGCACAATACAACACATGCAGTGTCTGTGATCCTTCTTAATATAGTCATATTTCAAAAAAAACTCATTAAAAGTCAATTGCTACACAGTGAGAAATTTGAACCATAGTATGACAAAAGAACAAAATTTTGCAAGAAGCTCACTGTTGGACCCTCAACCCTAAAAGAATAGGGGACATTTTTCCTGATACCGTCGCATTGCATGTTTTTCATGCATTGAGCCTTCAACAGTTTTTAAGTAACTCCTTGTGCTCATTTTGACAGGTATATTGTAGAAATCGGACAAATCGTTCTTCCGCTGTTTGTGTTTTCCAAGATGGCTCTTTTAGGGTTCAGATGAAGTCCAAGTTTGATTGATTGCTCACTGAATTGATACATTACCAGCTTTAACTGAGGTGGTTTAAGAAACGCACATGTGCTCTTTTCTTAAAACCCATTTTCTTAGAGAAACCAATGTCAGTAATGATGGTATAATCCACGGTGAGACAACCAGTTGTGTAAGTTCAAACACAGTGTATTAGGCAATTCAAGAAAATCCCCATGTCAGCATCACAAAGGGTGGCCTCCTGAAACAACTCGCATCAAATTTGATGCACAAGGACGCACTGTAGTGCTGACCATGAACTGACAAGCTTATATTTTGCTTCAAAAACACACAAAAAAAACCCCACCCAAACCAAACACTACGCTACTGAAAGAAAGCCTCTAATAACTCCAACTCCATGCTTGCCTTTTTCACACACAATACCTACCAAACGCCCTTCCGATTCAAATCTGTAAAACAAATCTCCAGTGACAACTGTTAGATACTTTTTAAATGGTGAAGACACCTTTAAAAAACTTCCTGGCAGGTGCATTTATTTGCCTCTCTTTCTGCATAAGGCCACCGATGATACAAGCAGCTTGACGAGCCAGAGACTAACAATTCTCGTTCATCAGATGACAGTTTTCTCCTGCTGGTCGTTTGCTCGCAACCGAGCGCAAAGGGGGAGGGGCTAGCAAACGGCACATTCTTGAGTCGATCTGTACGGAAGGACATCTACATGTATGCACAGTCAAATGAAGCTAAGCAGTGATTGGTCTCTGACTTGGCTTGAAGTCACCGTAAAAGGACAAGCTGTCCATGTGTTACATTTCTGTGGAAAATTCTGTACAGAGATGGTCAGCCAGAACAAATAATCCAGACTGATACACACCGACAAATGTTGGTATAGTCTCTCTCCTGATCTGAAGATCCTTGTCAAACAACTTACATTCTTCATTCCAAATTAAGTCTGTTTGCCTTGAGATGTTTTCAACTTTTGGACAAATATCTCAGCTCCTCAACAGGGCTAGGACACAGATAGGTAAGGAATGCCTCACTCCAAGTTCCACTGACGGTAACTGTCCCTTCTCCTAGATTGCAAACAAAGCATTTTGGGACCAACCTCAAATCCCTCCCAGAAACATACTCTGCCTTTCAAAGCCTCTGGATCATGATCTTGATTTCTTTATTTGGAGTGTTTCGTCGGGGGCAGACAAGGGGCTATACAATCCTGCTCCCACCGACCACAATTGGCCCAGTTGAGCTCTCCAGATCCCAGACTTTGGGGTTGGTGCAGGGGGCCGGACCCCCACTGCCCGAGGAGGCCATCCCATCTGCCGTAGCTGCTTCGCCTGAGGGCTTGTAGGTTAGGCCTTCCTGTTTGACGATGGCGTTGATATAGCTGGCAATCAGCAGGGTGATCTCCAGCACCTGTCAGAAGGCATGAAGAAAAAGGATTACATCCAACTGTGTGACCGGATTCAAAAAAGTAAGTCCTTAGGCCAATGTGTTTTTCAATATTTTGCTTTAGTCTGCAATGAAGGGAGCAAGCTGAACTCCGTTTAGAATTATCACTCAGTTTGGCACCTTGATAAAAATGGACATTACATCAGGAAAAATGTTGCAAGTTTGTGTTGATTTCAATTGTGCAAGATTCTTTTGAATGCCTATTAAATCGAAAAGTGGCTTGAGCGACTAGCAACTATTTTTGTTAGTTAGAGTCACAAATATCTCTATGAAAATTTAATTCATTTAATTCATATCTTATGAAATATGCAGAACCCAAATTCTGAAACATACAAGAGTGATGCGTCCATTTTTTGAAACACATGGACTGAAGTTAAACTGGATCATTTGACTTCTGCCAGTCATTTTTGATTCACAGTTTATGAAATATGTAGTGTCCGAGTCAGTAGCAGCTTCGTCAGAGAAGAGAATACCTTTGTCTTTGTCATAGCAAAGAGCAGTTTCTCGGTGCCATGTTCACGTTCCCGGGGCACCTCCTTGGTCACTGATTGGCTGAGGACAATCATAAAGTCGTCACGGCAACCTCCAAAGGTGACCATCGACTGAAAAGAGTACTTGGAGAGTTCTTGCTGTAATGAAAAAACACAATTACAAATAAATGTCAGAACTTTGTTTGCCTCATTTGAATAGGCATCTCAGAATAGGAGATGTTTATAATTCAGAAAAAAAGGTTCCTTGACTAGTATTACCATACCTCATACATATTCATGATTGAGAGCTGAACTCTTACTGGTCCATTCATCATAATTTGCCAGTCACTACGTTTGCAATTTACCAGGTGTGCACATGAGCATTTGTGCACAAGTTGGATATACCCTAATAGCACTGCCCCAGTAATGCTGTATATGCACTCTACACATGAACAGAGGGTGGCACACATACATCTACATGCTCCGTTTACTTTGCTCCTGGAATCTCTATGGCAACTGAATGTCTGAGGTATGGTAATACAAATAACACAGTTTATTTTGACAAACCGGCTCCTGAGACAAGACCGAGGGAACTAGTTTGTCAACTTCCAATGCTGAGTGGAGTTAAGAACGACTTTCCACCCTCAAACCATGCTATATGTGACCGGCTCTAGAAAAATGGGTAATAATTCACCAGATTCAGGTTATCAGTTTTTGATATGGCTGGATTGAGTACATCAAAAGCTACAATTTGATTTATGAATGACCCCTATAGTGTGTTCCAGAGATATTTAGACATTTGTATATCCACATTTTCGGATTCAATAAAAGCACTTTTCGATAAAAGCTCAGAAAGTGTAGCACTTGGAAACACAATGCTATGTAGGATTTCCTACTGAATGATCAATTTTTCATCTTCATTCATCAGTATCCATGTTTGTAGTCACAAATGCTGAAAACATAATTGTTATACAAGCTAATAGAGGAAAAAACACAAAATCACATTTTGGGAGACATTTTGCCCTCTCCAAATAGAACAGGCCATAACATATTTTGGAATTGCACGACTTATTACCCTTTTTTGCAGAGCGGGTCACATATTTGTCTACTGTTTTACTTGTTGGTTCAAACTCTTATCAACATTGCTCGTATTACAACAAACCTGAAAATCAAATCCAGCTCTCCTTAGATAGTAACGCCGAGTCTACAATGAACCACATCAAGGGGTAATTTGAAATAAAGAAATGCCAACTGCTATCCTAACAGTTTTTTTTTTCTCTCTATTTGCCCTCGATCTTGTATCTCTTCTGTGTTGAATCTTGATCTTGAAATAGTCCTTTCTTACCAGGGTTTGATAGTTGAGCATACTGACGCCACTGTCCTGCACAGCTAGCCAGACTCTCTCCTGCTTACCAAATTTGCACTGAAAAACCAAGTAAACATAAGCCAGTCGACATCAACACTCTCTGAACAAAGGTGACTTACAAACCAAATTTAGTTGGTTCCACCATCACATCTTCAGTGAAGCAAACTTGATGGTTCCCCCCAACCATTCCTGCCTTCGCCCCATCCTCTACCCCTGTATAAACTGGTCAGCTGAATACCTTGGCTGGGAAGAGCTTGGCGCCAAAGAGCGGCCATTTCCGGGTGACAGTCAGGTAGATACGCACACAGTCTATGGGCGTACGGCCCTTCAGGACGCACCACTTCTGGGCCAGGTTATGCTTCAGGGTCCTGTTTGCCCAAACCACACAGAAGAGCTTAATGGCGTCTAGTTACAGTGAAGAGGGAGCATTTATGAGGTGTAAAGGTTCACGCAGAGGTGTGATCAAATCGTTGCAAGTCAGTCAGTGGTCAACCACAAGTCGTCAAGACTCAAGGTAAGTCACAAGCTGTTGAAGATGACTACAGGCATTCGTTCTGATCCATTCAGACCCCCCCTCCTACTTTATAGCTGACGTGCAATTTGATTTGAGTTAAATTTCTTGCGACTTGTGCTGGGTCGAATCATAACTCTGGGGAGCCATTCACAGGCACTACTAAATAGAACGATGGGACAGATGAATCCTTGGAAGAATTAAAAGATGACAAAATAAACTAGTTTCCTCCAGAAGCAATCAATCTTTCACTCACTTGGCACACAGCAACAGCCTACCAGACAACTCCTACATGGCATGCTGAGAAGCCCTTTGAAGACATTTTTTAATGGAATTACATGTAAATATCCAATGGATGCAACTCCTTTTAGGGGGGGTTATAATTTTTTTGTGATATATTTTTTTCTAGGAGCATACTGGAGCCAGTCACTGACAGTTCTCTGTTATTCTCGTGTAGTTCGAGACAGACATGAGGGCAAAATGTGAAATGAATTTCCTGTCCTTGTTAACCCAAATCCTAACCCAATCTGCCATGGATGGTATCCCAAGGATGCTTTTCTTGGTACATACATGCTTGCTGTCTAGTGCCCAACCCCAGTTACTCATGCCGCTGAAAACACTGACCCAGACACACAGGCAAAACTATCCCTACGTACCTAAGTTCTTCCTCGTCGCAGCTCTTGTACCTCTTGGGGTAGAACTTCTCAAATGCGCTGTCTAGTGTCTGGCTGGTACTCGCCGCACTGGTACCGGCGGATGGCAGCTCCAGGTTGGTCACGCTGGGTCGGTAGTCGTTATATTCAATCTGTTAAAACAAGAGTAATTTGCTTATTGGACAGTCAGAACTGATGCTTTCCTTGGGAGTGACAGGTCCTGTGAAGGTTTACACCAACTGGGATTTTCCCAGGTCTTCAAAACTCCATCAGGATGTTTGGGGGAATTTGAAGGATTGAGGAAGGTAGCAGCCAGAAGCAAATTCCTGGGGGATTCGAAGGGGGCCATGCAACACTCCCTTTCCCCCCCCAATTTTTATTTTACAATGTAATGACAGAAAGATGACTTGTAGAGACTGTTTCATTTCCCTTCTATCGCAAAGTATGTAAAAAACCCCAAATTTAGCCGCACCCCTTGGAAGACTATAAAAGTGTACAAAAAGAAATTTTCAAATTTTACCCCCCCCGCCCAAATGAAAGGTTCTGGATCTACTCTTAGTAATAGCCTGTCCCTATTACTTTTTTGGAATACTAATTGTCATGACCTCAGTGCTCATATTTCACAGGACAACAGGGCTTACCAATCCAGTTTTGCTCGGTCAAGGGTGTTTTAACTTGACCATTATGATCAAAGACAAGTACATGTAAAACACACTTTCACATTCCATGTTTTAGCCACTTAATTTGAGGGCTAATTTGAGCATCACAGTGTTGTGTCACTTCCATTTGATGAAGTTTCTGGAAAGCTGTGGGAAGTTCAAGTAACCACTATTTATTGACCACTGGGCAATTTTCCCCGGTAACCCCCGCACATAATACATCCCGGGCACAAGGCAAACTCGACCGGTGCTCAACAACTGCTGATTGCCCTGACTTGCCCGCTCTCTGGCACAATTCCAGTAGGGGTCGCCGTCATAAACCTTCTGAACCCTACCTGGGCCATGAGGGCTGCCAACTCCAGTGCCAGCTCCTTGTTGATGGGGAACCAGCCGTTGATGATGTCATCGTTGACCTGATAGGCCAGCAGCAGCCTCTCCCGCTCCGTCTCTCTCTTGGTGCGCTGTCGGAAGTACAACCTTGGAAGAATCCACCAAGGGAGGGAAATCAACCATTTAGACCCCTAATCCGATTACTTGACCACTTCCTCCCAATTCTAATCTAATAATACACCACCGGATGCAATTCATGTCTGTGTTTTTCCTCCCCACATGCCATCACATTCTGTTGGATTTCCTTGTTCTCGTGTGACTTGTATTTAATCTGATGTAGGCCAAAATGACTCGAGGAAGGAGACTCCCGTTTTAACCTAGAAACGTTCAGTACAAAATTGGCAATTCAGTCACTGGAATGTGAATGTTGGCAACTCTACATGATCAACTGGTATGTGAGTAACGACAGTTCAACTTATGCAGTATCCTTAAAAAGAAAAAGCTAACACGTTTCATGCTTTTAAAATGATGTATGAGACACTGCAATGGAATATCATACACAGAATGCAACAGGACTTTTTTTCTTAGAAGAGTGACTTTTTAATTCTCTATGTTGCATATTTTCACAATTCTATTTAATGGTAATGTGTGGCCTTAGTGGTTAGGGTTTGTAGCTTCCAATCATAGGGTGAGGGGTTTGAATCCTGGCGGGTAATAAGATGCCATAACCTGGGGGCAAGTCACTTCACCCCTGCATGCCTCTCTCCACCAAGGAGTAAATGGGGACCCCGTGAAGTCAGGTATAGTAGTGTTTAGCATTTTGCACCTGCAAATGGCTGTATCAGGCTGGTTTACTCCCCAGGGAGGTGTGATAGTCTTAGGAAATGTTCAGCTGTTATGAACCAATGAGCTGGGGAACAGATAATACATCGGTGCCTTTGAATGACAGATACTGTTAACTTCTGTGCGCCTTATAAATACTCTGATTAAAATCATCATTTTTTCTCCAAGGTGAAATTTATTTCAGTCCATTATCAGCCCCACCCATAATCCAAAGAAAGAAACATGTGAACCAATGACAATTTATGGTGGAGTGTTATTGAACATTTATGACCTGCTTCACAAAAGACATATAAGTGCAATGTTTCAGTCCTAGTGCTAAAACATATTTGTTGGTCAGTATCAAAACTGGTTTCAGTAACATTGGAAATGTGTCAAACCAAAACCAACATATAACATTTGATGTTACAAAAAGTGCCAAAGTATTTTGTTGAAAACAAAAAGATAATCTTCAAACATTTTATGCTGAAAACCATCTAAAAAATGACCAAGAGGCTGCTCAAAATTGAAAACATACCCTTCTTTTACCCTCAGAGAATACCTTCATTCTATGGCAATCATCAGGCTTTGTACAGGGAGGCCATTCCTAATTCCCATGACATCTTTCTTACAGCAAACCAATATTCCTGTTGAATGACTCCTGTTCATGTTGGCTAAGCTTTACCTGTTTTTGTAGGTGAGTCGCACCATTCTGGCTGTTTCCCACTTGCCAGTCTGTGTCTCCTTCAAAGTCTGCTCCCATTTGGATATCACATCGCAGATCTGTGCAGTAGGCGCAGAGTCAAAATCAAAGATGAGGAAACAAATACAGAGATTTTAGAATAACAGGGGTGCTTGTCTATTTCTGCCGTACAATAAGGAATAAGAGAGTTGAGGTCTCGGTGAAATGCTCAAAAATAAGCAAATTCCTGATCTGTCTTGTCCCTCGAACCCCGGTCCATCCCAGACCAAGTCTTCCCCAAGCCCAGCCCGCATCAAGTCCATTCCAAAGCCCTGCCTGGACAAAGCCATTTCTCTGGCCCAGCCACTTGAGATGGATCCTATGCCCAAGCTCAACCCACACCTATTCCCCAGCCCAAGTCTATTCCCTAGCTTTAGCCAAGCCAAACGAAGCCTACTACAACCCCACCAAGCCCAGGTCAATCCCCAGCCTGACCTATCCAAACCAAGCTCAGTCCTTACCCATTCCCCATGCCAGCCTATAAAAGCCAAGCCAGCCCTCTCAAAGCCCAAACATCACCCGCTGAAAAAACAACCCATCACACAGAGACCCACCTTGGCCGAAGGATGCAGGCAATGCTCAATTTCCCTCCCACATGGGTCATCGGTGAACAAGGCAAATCCACTCTCCTCGCTGTCTCTCATGTTGATCTTGTGGTTCAGTGTGTGCAGCAAGTCCTTGACTGTTGTTGAGCCATCAAACCCTACCACCTGCTCAAAATAGAGTAATCACCATTTCTTACAATTAAAACTTTTCTAACATTAGAATTATGCTCTGTTCAATGTAGCGGGCTTTAAGATGTTTACCCTGTCTTGATAGAACACAAATTGACAAACTTCAGGATGGCAGCCAATTTATGCAATAAAAACCAGGATCATGACAATTTTTGGTGAGCACGGATCGCTATAAACCACTACATCAGTTACCACTCTTCCCTGATGGTTCTTGTGCTGAGCCTGTTTGAGGTATTTTGAATGGTTCTAAAGCAATTTAAATCTGATCCATTGTGAAGAGTTCTTTTCTATTCAGCATATGTCCAAATCCATGGAATATAGAAACACTGTGTTTCCTTAGTCTCTGGTTTCCATCTATGGCATGCAGGACTGCTTTTTGTATCAATATCACTAGCTTACTGCAAGTCTGCATGAGCAGCTGGTGTAAATCACCCACATCAAATATCAGTCTTTCTTTTCCACACTTCACAGGGTGGTTGAAACATCACCCAGCCACATTTTCCATGAAAAGTTAAACTAAAATATTGTTTCCGGAAGTACATAGAAATAATGGCTTCTCTCTGTATATCAGAACCCCAGCTTTGATACTGCTTATATATACATAGACAGAACTGAGTCCTCTGACCTGATAACTCCCATTCATGAAGTGAATCGGCATGCTAATCGGGAAGGAGTGGTGGTAGGGGTGTCTCTGTAGAATCGACAGCACCTCCTGGCGAGATGGCTTGGCCTCCCTCCCTCCTTTGTGAATGGTACGCTCCAACGACCTCTGACAGAAGAGGGCATACTTGCCAACGTCATTCCTGAGAAAACAAAACAACAAATACTCCTGAACTCTCAGAAGCACGACAGAGAAATGGAGAATGCTTATTCAGGGCCTGATGTAAATTTTCATTGGCTGTCACTCAGTACTTTTAGTGGTGAGAGCCCAGAATGATGATTTAAGCCTGGCTGAAGTTCTGCCAGACAGGGCTTAATAGGCTCACGCTAATTTCATGTTTGACTGACAAATGAAATACTTCCATGGCCTAGAAATGTCTCCATACACTTCCCTTAATCCAGCACTAGTAATAGATGAAATGTTAGACTGACCAGTGACATCATCTGATGTTTAGAACAGAAGCTGTTTTAAGGTTGAAATATTTAGATTTAAATTTTAAGTAGATAGTGAAAGTAACACAGAAAAATCCTCAACGCAAGTCAATGTAAGCAAAAATTGCCCCATGTTTGAAACTGAGTTCAATAGAAAATCAATAAATTTATGAAAAACAGAACTTCAGGACATATTCATTTGCAATTTTAGGGCAATGTTTGTTTTTCTTTTCTTGGAAGGTTAGGGATTAGGGGTTAAACAAATCACAAAAGTTGTTCCTATATAGCCTACAGTCTTATCTGTTGATTAAAGATAATGCATAATGATGCCCCTCGATATAATTGATATTGTTCAGGTTAGAGGACATTCTAATATGTTCCATAAGCCAATCAAAGAGACATTATTTATTTCTTAAAAATGTATTGACATGGCATCTCAAATTCTTTCCCAGCTACAATTATTACGGTGTCAATCAACCACAAAGGTTTTCTAGACCAACGGTTCTCGTAGAAAGGTTTGCCCAGGAAAGTATCGATTTACATGACACTTTACCAAAACCTACAGGAAATTTTCAGGTACAGTAAATACAACACCCACGTTTATCATAAAATGCCGACAACTTTATGAAACCTGGCTGGAGGTTTCACGTCAACTGATGACTGATAAGGGGCGTGGCATCTGTTGTGCTACTATTAAGAAGAAACTGGCCTCTATCTAAACCAAGGAGGAGGAAAGACAGCATTCTTGACACTCCGGTGGCACGGACCAAGCAAGCCGTGGTTTCCCAAAGTATTCCGAATCAGACGTTGCGCGAGAGATAAGCTTTAAAATTGTCACAATGAGTTGTGGGAAAGGAGCATCGTGCTTGATCGCTGTTTTCATTCTTGTGAGGGTTTCATGCAAATAAAGGCAAGTTGTATTCATGTAGAAAATACTTATGTCCATGAGTGATTGCCCACCACGTGGTGAGCTTGCCAGCCAAAAATTTGGGAAAATGTCCACTTTTTTTTAACCAGGACTCTTGTCAAAGGCCTACAATACCAAACTTTAAGCTTCTGTTACTTCATTTTCCTTTGCAGACAAACATTTGTCCAACTGACAGGAATAGAGTATCACAAACTCCTTAACACATATCTTGGGGGGTGTCCTTAAAAATTGAATTTTTTTATGTCCACCTATAGATAATTTCAAAATTCAGTGGCCAGTAACTCTTAAAGTATGCCAAAGAAGCTACTTCTGAAAGCCTGGGATCAAATCGCCCGAGGTACATGTACCAACATGCAGCCTGCAATTCTGATTCGTTTTTGAGATATTGACCTCATTTTCTGTGTACTGCACTGTTTGTCAGTATCACCCTAAAAGTCCTAAATCCCCCAACTGCAATATCATTTTTCACATACCCTCACCTATGAGGTAAGGCTTACATGACATGTTTCAAAGAGCCACAAGCTCTATTCAATTTCATTTCAATTTCGTGCGCAAGGGTTCACAGAGTGACAAAGCAGACTGATTCTTAGAAAAAGAGGTATCACTGAAGTCCATGCTATGAACCTGCCCCTAATGCAAAGTAATTTTGCTGTGGTTGGTCATCCAAGGCCTACAGCCTGACAGCTCAAGTGGAAAGTTCTTCCTTAGAAACAGTTCTTCCTGACAGGCCTCATTAAGCTTTAATTAATTTTGTAGTTGACCAATTTGCACCACCAATTAACACAAAACATCCACAAAAAAACTCACAAAGGAGAGTACACTAGATGACATTTCAAGAAAAAGTTAATTGGACCTTGCACCTCTCTTTAGAAACCAGATATGCTCAAACCTTCACATCAGCCATCAGAAAAGGTTCTACTATTTCCACCAATCAGGAATGCTGTAGCAGGCACTGAAGTGTTCATTACAACTTATGCATATGCATAGGGTGTAATTTACCAATAGGAAAGGTAATTTTTAAAACATCCTTTGCAATTCAGTTCATTAGTGACTGCGACCAATGGCTAATACACAAATTTTGACTAATTCCAGTTCTAATGGTTGCATTGCTACACTGTACTCGTGGGCATGGCCTACACTGATACAATGATGCACTAATGAATAAGATGAATAAAGGTTGTTAAAAACATCTCGCGACACCACAAGGTATCAAACTAGCAACTTAGCAAGGCATCATGTCTATGTTCACAACTTCACAGCTATCATCAAAGTCAAGAATTTCTGACAGCTGAATGACCCCAAAAGTACAGCATACACATTAAATATCTTCACAGCACAAGCTACGAATGATTTAGAAAACTTGAGGCATCTTGAGCAATCGACCATGAAAGCAGCTGGGAGAATAGCACTGTACATGGCTAGCATTGTTTTCGCTCTTACAAAAATTGCTCTCATCCAATGCTGTCCTGTAGGATGGCTGAGATGGAGTAAGTCCTGCTATATGATAACACCTGCACCAATGCTGTGGAGAGATGTCCAGCCACTGTGTCGTAGCTTTGGCGCTCGCATGGCAGTCCCGAGCTCTGATGAGGAGAACCAGTTCATGGCCAGGGTTGCCTCCAGACTTCAAGTGTGTCTGTGGATTGACTGCACCGACAAAGCGATTGAGGGTACGTGGGTATGCGCTGAGGACATAGCAGCGGGGTCAGGCTACCGTAAATGGGATCGGAATCCAGCGGGTGCTCAGCCAAATAACTACCCAGATAATGGTGACGGCACTGGAGCAGATTTTGCATCCCTTCCGATGCATGGACTGGGGTGGGCAGATTTCCCCGATTCCCTTGACTGCTACTCAATGTGCGAGATGGAGCTTGCGTGTGATTCGCCCATGCAGTGCCGAGCTGTGAGAGCTGGTACATGTTAACTCTTTCATCGGTTCATGCATGTACTCAAACTCAGTCCCTGACTCTTTATGCCAGCCCATCAACAGAAATAAAGCACTTCTTCACCTGTGATAGAACGAATCTTTGCCTGCTCCTTCACAATCTTCTAGCAAAGCCCCTTTCATAGTAGGCTTGCTCTTCAAATGACAATGTGACCCTCAGAGGAACATTTTTCACACTACATGTATCCCTGCATGTTTGAATTTAATTTTAATTTAATGCTGAAGTTCCTTTTTGTACCGTAGACTGATTAGTTAGAATGGTTGCTAGTATGACTTGACGTCATTAATTAAAATCATCTGACAAAAAGGCATATTAAGCAAGCTGCTTACAATGTGAATTGTTTTGGAAGAAAATACTTAAAAGCCCTTCTGTTAGGTGCATGATAAAATATTATATAGTTGGACCCAACTCTTTCAGCCCTTGATAACAGTTGACACCAGTGTGTAAACTGTGCTATGTATGTAGTCATGTGCAAAATATAGAGATATATAGTGTGTAAAATGCTAAAGGTTTAATCTCTCCACTCGGAGTGAAAACAAAAGAGGGTGTGTTTTTAAATGAAATTGACAGTCCTTTGGTACGAACTCCCTGCATAGGCGCACAAGTTTGACGCACGTTTGACGAATGTACGATCTTTGCATGCACGCCAAATGCGTGCAAGAACCCATTTGGAATACTTATACTGTCTTTCTTTCACCAGTGAGGGAGCACTTCAACTCTGGGCAGATAGGCTGTAAGAAACTGAGAGATGACACTACGAGGGTAAACCCTAATGCGCATCTTAAAAGTCTGACAGAAGATGAAAGCAAATAAAATGTGTTAGTTTAGTACAATTGGACTCAGATGTTGATATAATTCCAATGACATGGACACAACCCTGTCTAGCTCATAAAGGACAAATTCTTATGCATACAAAGATGCACATTTGTTTGCCGCCACAAAGTGCCTGGCAACCAAATGTGAGAATATTTCAGGACAAGACGACTCAAATGTGATTTTCAACAGGACAAGACAATTCAAATGGCATGCAAACAACCTTGCCTTTTCTCATTAAGGACATACCCAAGGACTCAATACAAATTGATAGGCGCTGAACACCACAAAAAAAAATCCTTATTAAATGAGGTTTCAACAAATCAATTATGTTAACTTGTATCTGGTGCAGGGCATCATTTCTTTTTTATTGGTTGTCACCGGCTGCTGTATTTTATCAAGGTCTATTGCCTGACAGTTAAAAAACCTCTGCTTTGTTAAGTTTCCCCAGACAGTCCTTGTCAGGCTTGGACTAACTGCGAGCTTGATTGACAGATAGAAATCAATGTTACAAACCTAGAAGAAATAATATTAATACATTTTTCGAAAAGGGACAAATGATATTTAACTCTAACCAAAACAACTCCTTCAGGCACCAATCTGCACCAAACAGGAACGATGAATCAAACTACAAGAAGTCGTCTATTGCCTCATGCATATGTATAAGTAAATAAACCTCTTCCATTGGTTCATGTTCGACTATCAAATCAGCAAGGTGCTCTAGCTGTGCACCGCAGATGCCAAGGTACACAAATGTACAGGCGTTTCTTATTAAAGCCATGAATGTTAATAGCTCACTACTGTTCGCACAAGCCAATTCACACCAACCAGCTAAAGCCATACCAACCAAGAGGTGTCTGATGGGTAACTTGGGTAGCCAGAGGCGGTGGAAATAATCAGTGTCCACTTTGCTGAGCCAGTCTGCCAACCAAGCACATATGTACATGTATATTCCCATTTATATTTACCCTGTGAGCCAGGAACTCACAATGTTAATAATTACATGTAATAAATTTCCACACGATTTTACTTTCTCACCAATTTTTTTTTTTTGGAACTCCCTCTAGCAACAGCGTGCTAGGTGCCTCTCAAAAGTAGTCGTAAACAATCTCCTTTGGAGATTGGCACACCCGTGCTATGTACAATGCAGGAGGAGACACACAGTTCATAGCAATTTATAAAGACTCTGAATACTTCACTTCTGTTACATTCAATAGAATGCTCAGTAAAGAATGATTGCTGTTATGAATGAAATGCTGTCAATTAAAATGTTTAATTCCATCTTACTATTGGCAGACTTTAACAGTTAACACCTACACGTATGTAACAGTCTTTCTTTTTTGTAAAGAAACATACTCAATAGTACACTTTGAAGGGTTGCTTAGTAAATGGCAACCTGGATTCTGCTGAGTTCTGAGAAGTGTGGTATTTATGAAGAATAAATTAATATTTTATGCTGAACAGACTTAACATTGATTCTTCTTAATTTACAAATGCATTTAATACATCAAGGTCTCTTACAGAACTTTCCGGCCAAACTTAGTACCTGAAATGTTTCACCTTTGCCCCATGCAAAATACAGTAGTGACATATACTACTCGTTCTTATATATAACCTTCATGTATAATAGAACATAAGTAAGCTAGCTGCAGTCAACAGGGCACAAAAATAGTTTCAACTTGTAGCTTGTGTGTCCAATTTTGTATCTTTTATTTAAAGAATGGTCCATAACTGTGAGTATATTGTGTTGTGTATGTAGCTGAGTGAAAAATGTACCGTAATTTTACATGTATAAAATAGCTTCAAGTAACATTTTAAGGTTGTTAGAAAGTACCTTGAAAGTAATAGCTTCACACCTTGCGCTTTAAATTTGCACTTTGCTCTTTTAACTATAAAAACCGAATTTTTGGTGCACATGCATATGTAATGGGCCAAAGTGCCTGCTAACCAATTGCGAGTATGGCAGGATACTGAATAGATGAATTGTGATTAAGAATTGTGTTGTTATAACTTCTTCTACCATGAAGATTAAGGCAACCTTTACAACTGCATCTGGAAACAGCTCACAAACTGCTGCAGTGAATGGAAAAGGTCAATGCCAAACACCTTGAAATGCGCGAGCAGACATCCAGAAACTCTTGAATATTACTATTTTACTTTCCATCCTCATGGAGAGCAGCGCACATAAGAGGAATGCAGCGCTTCTGTTTCCCTGATGTGGTAAGGCACAGCACAGCACAAAGGAAAAAATACTGGCTGGAGAAATGCCGTGATATGGCTAGACTCCGCACCTAACTGAAACCTACGGAGATCAACCTGCTTGGGAAATGACACAAGCCCACTACTGCTACAATGTTGCCAGCGACCCATTTCAAACAGCGTACTTGCAAACACTGCAAACTCAGAAAATGGAGCCCAAAAAGCACACAAACAATGCGAGGGCCTTATCGTCTCTCTTACTACTGCTATCCATTTACGACACTAATTCACTAATTCACTCCTGACTGATGAACGCGTGATTAACTTAGTTGGTGTGTTTGATCTAGGAACCACACAGCAGAAACATGTTGGTGCTAAAAGCTGATTTTTCAGTGACTGGACAAGAAACAGGACAGTGAATGTATTAAATGCAACAGCGATTAGGTGTTTGTATTAAGTCCGCGTTTATGATATGCCGCTCTCAATTCAAGGAGTACGTGTTACTGTGATTAACTCTTGTTTAGCGTTCTCCAGGATCACCATGCTCTGGGGATCCGCATGTTTTATCGTGGACGAGCAAACTTCCTGGATGGTGTGCAGCGTGCCAGACATTTTTCCGATTTTGGTTTTTCTTTTGAAAATCCTTTGAAAATAAAAAAACCTGGAACGGTTTCAATTAAATCAGAACAGTCAGCAGGCACATAACGGTTCATACGAAGAATAAGACACATCTTTTAAGCAACTTTCTATAGAGTACCGAAGTGAATACGTCACGCTCACAATTAGTGTGTAAAAGGCATGAGCGTGTCAACCAGCGCGTGAACCAACACACGCGCCTACTCCATTCTATTGTACTGCACTTTCTGGTCCAGAGTGACGTCACACTTTGGTACTCTATTCCTCTTGATACCTGTTACTCCCACAAAAAACTGTTGAAATAATACGGCACATGTTGCTAGCAGCAAAAGATACAGAAATTGACTAGGAGGGGACTAGAGCCAGAGGCCTCTGAAAACTGTGCCGGCACTCTACCAACCAAGCTCTCCTAAACACGTATGCAGAGACCCGAACAAAAAGACACTACTCACTTTGTGTCGGCGTGCCGGCGCAGATGGGCCTTGAGAAACCAGAGGTACTTCTGCTGAGGTAGGAACAGCACGCAGCACATTGCCAGCAACTGCCAGGCCTGTGTGACCAGGTAGATCTCCTGCGGGTTGACCTGCCGGGGTTCAGAGGTCAGGTCAGTCATGGACGAGGGCCGCGACACCTGGGCGTCGCACCCAAACCAGGAGGAGAGACTCCCGCAGAGGAAGGACTGTGCAACCCGGCGGGATTGGGAGGGTGGGGTTTGCCGGCAAAGGAGTGGTGGGGATAGCCGCGGTGGAATGGTGGTGTTGGAATGGGATAAGAAAACAAAAACAAAACACACAAAAAAAATAGCCGTGGGAATGACAAAAATAAACAATAAGCAAAAATAAATCAATAAGCAAACCAAAACAACACCAAGAAAAAAGAACTGAATATAAATCATGAACATCGCATTTTGAAAGAAGTCTTAGGCACTGAATTGAAGGCACTGAATTCAAGATAAGTTCAAATGTAAATCACGCTTTTTACTACATTTTTTTTTAGTAATTCTAGTGCCTGAAGCCTTGATAAACGGTTGGCCACTTCAAAAATATGAGCATGCCTTTAATTACTGATACTGACGTACTCAGAGAAGAAAATGTTCTCTTTTGCAAGTTTTTGGAATTGATGCATAAATAAAACAATCAGTTTAGTCGGTTCACTTTAAAACTTGTATTTGCATGTTTGTCAACTTCGTGAGCTAATTCCGTTTTTCTCTAACTCTATAGTGCCACACATTTTTAAACTGGTGTTAGTCAACAGCCTTTGTGCTAGTAATTGTGCACTGGTTCAAACAAACTAGCCTTATCTGCATTATTGTTGGTAAGTATTCAATTGTGCTATGAAAAAACTACAAACACTCGAGATGCATTCAATTATCTCAAATGTGATGTATGCTTTTTTAAAAGCTGCAAATAAAAATGTGTTTGCTGCAAACAACACTTTAAAAGCAAATCAAAACAGCACAAAACAACCAGAGTTACATGTAAATAAGACAGAAAAATCAAATGCAAATGAAAATCAAAGCAAGGGCAATTAAGCAGAGCAGGGTTAGGGGTCAAGGGTTATTAGAGGTCATGAGGGTTGGGTTGGTTTTTGAAAGGGACAACTGTAGCTTCAAAAAGCATTTTCTGGGGCAAGACAGGCAGGTTTCTTCATAGAACTGGCAGCCAGGCTCAGTGAAAGTCATGCAGCAATGAGGTTCTGTATAAATGCATCAGAGAAGTTTTGCAAACTCACAGCAACGGCAACTGCACCAAGTTTTCTTTGATATCTTAGATTACTACTGCCGCTTATAACCATGTTGGAAAACTTATGAGTACAACTACTTGAAACAAAACAACTGAGGGACCAATGAAAGCGATGGATGGCAGAATGTAATTGTGCACACAACCGTTTGTATGCAAAACCTCTCCATTCTTTGTACAAGGGATCTAATACTGCTTGCAAAGGCTACTTATGTAATGATTCAAATACACTGCCAAATTTATCAGTTCAATTATTAAAAAGCTAACACAAGGTGCATCACTCCAAATGAAGCCATAATAGAATTCAGTTTGATCTCCCTAACAAGTGTATTGATTCCAAGTAAGCTTGCAGGCCACTCCACCCAGAAATATACACGATGCATAAAAGGGCTGCCATAGTGACCAATATCACGTTAGAAACTGTGACCATAGCAACCAACCAGTTTCCTGCAAGCAATTACAATGGCCATGTATATCGTCGGAGTCTGAACAATGGCCACATTTCAACGCATGACTTGTGAAGGTCTCGGTTAGTGATGTAGTTGCAGCTCAGTGAAATCCAAGGCAAGCGTTTCTAATGCGTTGCAACAATTCTAAAGGCTTTATAATGGTACAGCACGGCTGAATGCTCACTGTCAGTGCAATGCTGCACAAGGCACAAGGTTGAGAGCTGTCTTAGGTCTGTATTTGATTAGTTTGGGCCAAACCCACACCGAGCATGCCTTGGCAAACCTCAACTACTGGGCTATGTTCTACAAGCTCGCCTAAAAACAGAAAACAATTAATTTGAATGCAATATTTGGGGCAGAAATAGAAATAAAAGCAAAGTTTTATATTTGTCTTTTGAGGTATCTCCTTATATTTGACATTTGTGACTGCTAGAAGATGTGGCTTTAAAAATGGCCACAAATTGGAGAAAGAAACCCCCGAATACGTATCCCCCAAGTTTCTTGAATGCGGTGAGGAATTAATAACTCCAAGCCCCCAAACTGTGACCTGGATGCCATCTCGGTTGCTAGGGTTACCTGTAAGCTCGCTGTGCCGGATCCCGGTGGACACCTGGTGGTCTGCTTGATCAGCTGGCAGTACATCTCGTTCTGGAGCTCCGGATGGGACAGGCAGGTCTGCAGTGCATTCTGGGCCAGGCTGATGTGGTAGTCGATGGCCAGCGTGTCCATCTGGACAGTGATGAAGAGGTTGCAGGACTGCAGACCACAACCAAATCAAACCCCGAAATTAGGACTTCCCTGAACTTGCACCTAGCCTGATAACCTACATCTACCATGTGTAGACCGGTCACACATGCAAATGCATGCAGGCACTGGAGGTTAGTTGTGCCCAATTGTAGCTACTTTTCTGTTAAGTTTGTGACACCTTTGGACATTTTATTGTTTTGCAACGCATGTAGTATTGTACCCTAGACCATCACAAGACCAGACACGAAACCGTTTACAAGGAGTGACAGGGGAATGCTTTTGTTGGAGTTGGTTTGAGATTTTTTTGTGTGACATAAATTCAGACTGGAAGTCTTGTGAAAGTCTTGAGAGGTTTGAAGCCTTTTAGAAGGGATACCAACTCCTTGGGGCTGTCAATCAAGTATGTATACACAGAGTGTTGGCCCCACATAAGCCTTGTAGAAGGGATACCAACTCCTTGCGGCTGTCAATCAAGTATGTACACACAGAGTCTTGGCCTTTTTAATCCCCCCACAAGCATGGCATGCAAAGCAACTCTAACACCTCCCTCCAAGTGTGCACATGCATTCCATACGGCCCTTTGACTTACATGTATCAAAGCAATGATACCGATTTACTGGTAAGATCCCCAATTGTCAGAGGTGAAAGGTAATGTGTTGTAACATTTTTTGGTATAAAAACTGGAGAAAGTACATTAATTTCATGTCAATTTATAAAAAGCAATTCAGGTGTGTGTATTGTCTCAGACCCCCCCTCCCCCTGTAAGCGATGATGACAATCCACTGCCCCGCCCCACTGCTTTGTGTGTATCTAAGAATGAATGGCCCCTTATCCTAGACATATACTAGCCAAAGAGTCCAGAAAATCCATTTGTACTTTAGGAAACATCCACTATTTAGGTTATGCATGGCAGCCATCTTCCTGTTCAGTACTTTTGTTCTGTAGTTATCCACATGATTATACCTTTTAAGCATGTCCCCCGTAACAAAAGCACTGACCGGGAAGATGGCTGCCATGCATACCCTCTGTAGGAAAAAAAAAAAATGGCTGCCTCCCTCAGGTTTTTTTTATAAAACCTCAATGCAAAACTAACTTCTTCTCTTACACTGCCAAAAACAACAGACCTTGCCGAGTTTGACAGCCTCCTTCTTCAGGGGTTCGGAAGGCAGCGTGGTCAGTGGCTTCTCGATGCTCTCCTTGCTGTAGCACAGCATGGGATGCTTCCAGTAGGGGCTCTGGGGGTTGCCCTCTGCGACCATCAGCCTGGAGATCAGCTTCTCAAACTCGGTGCCCGCGTCTGAGTTTCCCCCGCCCGATGCCACCAGAAGATGATACAGCCAGTTATCCTGCGCAAGCAAAACAAGAGAAACTGCTTAATGTACAAATGAGGGAGTTTCATTCAATAAGATTAATTTCTTTTATGCACAAGTAGTAAAATATAGCCTAAGAGAGATTCTCTCAATGTCTCTGGTAAATATTTCCCTTCAAAATTATACTTGCCACATCAAGTTTCCCTCCTGAGCACAGGTGGCATAGCCAGGGAAGGGGGAGTTGCTTGATTGTTGCCAATCTTTTAAAAAATTCATTATTCTTTGTTAGGAATCGAAAATACAAACAAATTTAGAAATAGCGTCTTCACCTTCCTTTGAAGGGGATTTCTTTTATAATTTATGGACATTCATTTTAGGAAACAATTGCCATCTTCCACATGCCAAACCCCCCCTCAAAGCTGGGATATGCCAGTGGTTCCTTATGGGAGGAATGTTTTAAACACTGTTACTGTTCTATTTCCAGTGCACTGTCAACTTACAAACAAATTTACAATCTAGTATTAATCCCTTTTTCATCTATCACTTAACACGATAAACTCTTCCCAAAAACTAGGGCTTTAAAAGTGCTGTGAAAAATGTGTATTTATACGCTTTTAAAATTTCAGTGCCCCATTTTGGCACTTTTGTGAACATTTACAGACTAGAAAACTAACAGAAAAAGTTCAACTGTCCAGGGTTCAACTGTCCAGGGTTCAACTGTCCAGGGTTCAACTGTCCAGGGTTCAAC